AATTGCTGCAAAGTTTAGCGTCAGGATCGCGATTGGTGAGGAGCTCTCAGGCGAAACGAACAGCCCGCCCTTTCGACCGGCCTCGGGGCGCGACAGGGAGGAGTTATTCCTAAGGACAAGGACTGGAGGAAAGGGGAGGCGCGCCGGAGAGGGGAAGGCAGCGTCGCAGGTGGCACCCGTGCCCGCAGCGACGGGATGGGGAGGCCGTTGCCCAGTACACAGGCACTCAAGGCCACCGAGAGAATCCCGCGTCAGCGCGCCTTAGGCTGGGCTTGTGGATGAGAAGACCTCCGCCTGCGCGCAGCGGGCCGTGCGGGCGGTCTGCAGACCGCCGCCACTGCGCCTCTGCACCCATCCGCGATCGCGGCGCCGCAGAGGGCAGCCACGGCTCACGGGAGCGCCTCCCGCAGCGCCGACGGCAGCGTCACTTGTTGTGATGAGCTTGGCCTTGATGGGCCGGCCAGCTGCGGAGGTCTCCCAGAGGCCCCCTCTGGCGATCTCCGATGGGCCCGGGAGGAGCAACGGCGCCCCCAGGGCCCCGATCTTCGAGGCGGTGGTGGAGGCTTCTGGGAAGGACCCCCGATCCTCGATCCGATCCTCGCCCTGCTGCTGCTGCTGCTGCTGCTGCTGCTGTTGCTGCTGCTGCTGCTGCTGCTGCTGCTGCTGCTGCTGCTGCTGCTGCTGCTCTCGGCCCTGTCATGGCACCACATGTCCTGTCGGACTGCAAGCCACGGTGCTTCAGGTGCCACAGTTCGGCAGCGCAGGCCAGGACGAACGAGTGGTGCTCGCGGCCTGTCGATGTTGATAGTGTGACCGCTTCCCGTCGGCTGGGTCCCGAATCCATGTGGCGGAGGGCTGCACCCATCCCATCTCCGGAATGCGTGGGGGAGGAGGATGAGGGCGGAGCCTAGGGGGAGGAGGAGGAGGAGGAGGAGGAGGAGGAGGAGGAGGAGGAGGAGGAGAAGAAGGAGGAGGAGGAGGAGGACTTCCATGGACAGATCTGGCTCTGTGGGCGGTGTGGGGCGGTTGCTGACAAGCAGTTGTGGCCCGTTGCGGAAGCCTTGCGCCCAAGTCTTGATCCCCACCAGTAAACAGTACCTTGATCGAGCTCGGGCGGCTTGAGCCCCAAAAGACCGCAGCCGAGCCGAGAAGACCCAGCGAGGCCGACGTGTGCAATGCTGCTCATAATTGGCATCGCCGCTGGTTCCTACTCCCCTTCTTCCTCATCCTCCCCCCTCGCGTATCCGAAGAAGCCGACGATGGACGACGATGACGACGACGACGACGACTGATGACGACGACGATGACGACGACGACGACGACGGCAGCGACGACGACAGCGACGATGACGACGACGACGACGACGACGACGACGGCGACCACGACCACGATGACCACGACCACGACCACGACCACGACGACGACGACGACGATGACGATGCGCAGGGCGGAGAGCTGGCTGGCGACCTGGGCTGGCTGGACCCACCCATCTCGCAGGCCCGAGCCACCGTGCCCCGCCCGAGGGAGCCCTGGATCTACACCTATACACACATATATATATATACATATACACATACCGTATAGACATATACAAGAATGTGTACAGCTACCGCTACATATACATATACAAATACACATACAGTCACATAAACATATTCATCTATACCTGTACAAATACACAGACACATGCTTATGCAAACACAAAAGCATATAGTATTCATATACCTATGTGAACACATATACACCTACATATACATATGCATATACATATACACATACATATACTAATACAGACCTACATACGTATACTTACATACACACATACCTACATGCGTACACGCATACATATATGCCTGCACACGTAACTATATGCATACATACATACATACATACGTACATGCATGCATGCATACATACATACATACATACCTACCTACCTACCTACCTACATACATACATACATACATACATACATACATACATACATGCATGCATACATACAAGCATTCTCGTATACAAACACGCATGCAGGTGTGCATGCATACATACACACATACGTATTCATTAGCAGCATCATCATCGTCATCATCAGCATCATCATCATAAGCATCAGCATCAACATGCTCCTCCGCCTGCTTCTTCTCCGCCTCCTCCTCATGTTCCTCAGCCTCCTCCTCCTCCTTGTCCTTGTTCTCTTTCTCATCGTCCTCCTCCCCGTCCTCCTCGTCCTCATCCTCCTCCTCTTCCTCCTCCTCGTTCTCATCCTCCTCCTCCTCATCATCATCATCATCGTCAACGTCAACGTCATCATCATCATCATCATCATCATCATCATCATCATCATCATCATCATCATCATCATCATCATCATCATCATCATCATCATCATTATCCTCTCCTCATCCTCCTCCTGTGCCTCATTGTCCTTGGTATCCTGTGTTCCGGCTCCCAATCCTCATCCTCCTCTTCCTCCTCCTCCTCCTCCCCCTCCTCCTCCTCCCCCTCATCTTCTTCCTACTCCCGCTCATCCTCCTTCTCCTCCTCCTCATCCTCCTCCTTCTCCTCCTCCTCCTCATCCGCCTCATCCTCCCCCTCCGCCTCCTCCTCCTCCTGCCTCCTCATTTTCCTCCTCATCATCTTCCTCATCTTCTTCCTCCACCTCATCATCATCATTATCCGCATTTTCATCCTCATCATCCTCATTCTTTCGCTACGCGAAGGCTGTAATCCCTGTAATCCTCCTCCTCCTCCTCCTCCTCATCCTCCTCCTCCCCCTCCCCCTCCTCCTCCTCCTCCTCCTCCTCCTCCTCCTCCTCCTCCTCCTCCTCCTCGTTATCCTCCTCCTTCTCTTCCTTCTCCTGCCCTCCTCATCATCAGCAGCAGTATCATAATGATCCTGCTCCTCCGCCTTCTCCTCCGTCTCCTCCTCCTCGTCTTCCTCCTCCTCGTTCTCCTCATATTCCGTATCCTCCTGCGCCTCTTCCTCTTCATCCATTTTCTCCTCCTCCTCCTCCCCGTCCTCCTCCCCGTCCTCCTCCTCTTCCTCCTCGTCCTCCTCCTCCTCCGCTTTTTCCTCCTTCTCCTCCTCCTCATCATCATCCTTCTCCTCCTCCTTCTCCTTCTCCTCCTTCTCCTCTCCCTCCTTCTCCTCCTCCTACTCCTCCTCCTCCTCCTCATAATCATCATCATCATCATCATCATCATCATCATCATCATCATCATCATCATCATCATCATCATCATCAGCATCAGCATCAGCATCAGCATCATCATCATCATCATCATCATCATCATCATCATCATCATCATCATCATCATCAGCATGTTATTCCTTATCCTCATCCTCCTCCTCCTCCCCTTATCGTGCCGACTTGGGTGTGAGCACTCTCCCGGCTCTCTCGCCCACTTTCTTGTCTGCCCCCGTCTGCTTCACCTCCTCGCTCTCCCTGGTCGCATCTTCCTCCCGTCTGATCCCATCGTCCGTCTTGGACTAGGCTCTGATGCAGAGTACAGTGCAGCAGAAATTTCGTGGCAACGTGCTCATGAGCTTACCGTATTGAGTTTCCATATCTTTCATAATCTCAGAGCTGAACTTGCATGCCATCCGCACCTGTTCGGCACTTATAGCATTACCACACAAGCTAGGCATTCAGCGATGCTTGCATGCCAGACTAATCAGGAGCGGGCTGGAGTCGTTCCCGCGACCCCCTCTCGCACGCGCCACTCCATATCTCGGCCGATGAGGCCTCAATCAGGTAATTGATCGTAGAGTGGTTGCATGACTCATCCCCCCATGCTACGTGGACTCCTCCTCCTCCTCCTCCTCCTCCTCCTCCTCCTCCTCCTCCTCCTCCTTTGCCTCATCATCATCATCAGCAGCAGCAGCAGCATCAGCATCAGCATCATCAGCGTCAGCAATATCATCATCAGCAGCAGCATCATCATCATCGTCATCAGCAGCATCATCATCGGCCTCCTATTCCTCCTCCTCCTCCTGCTCCTCCTCCGCCTCCTCCTCCTCCTCCTCCCCCTCCCCCTCCCCATCATCTTCCTCCTCCTTCTCCTCCTCCTCCTCGTCCTCCTCCGCATCCTCATCCTCCTCCTTCTCCTTCTCATCATCAGCAGCATCATCATCAGCAGCATCATCAGCATCATCAGCATCACCATCATCATCATCACCACCACCATCATCATCATCTTCACCATCATCATAATCATCATCACCATCATAATCATAATCCTTATCATCATCAGCATCATCGTCACGATCATCATCATCATAAACATCATCATCAGCATCATCATCATCATTATCATCATCATCACCATCATCATCGTCATCGTCATCCTGCTCCTCCCCCTTCTCCTCCGACTTCTCATCCGCCTCCTCTTCCTCCTCCTCCTCCTCCCTCCTCCTCCTCCTCCTCCTCCTCCTCCTCCCCTTCTCCTCCTCATCCTCATCCTCTCCTCATCCTCATCCTCCTCCTCTTCCTCCTCCCCTCTTCCTCCTCCTCCACCTTCTCCTCCTCCTCCTCCTCATCCTCCTCCTCGTCCTTGTTATCATCCTCATCCTCTCCACCTTCTCCTCCTCCGCATCCTCCTCCTCCCTCTCCCCCTCCTCCTCCTTCTCCTCCTCATCCTCTCCTCCCCCTCCCTCCTCATCATTGTCCTCCTCCGCTTCTTCCTCGTCCTCCTCCTTTCCTCCTCCTCCTCCTCCTCTCCTCCTCCTTCCTCCTCCTCCTCCTCCTCATCCTCATCCTCATCCTCATCCTCATCCTCCTCCTCTTCCTCCGCCTCTTCCTCCTCCTCCTCCTTCCTCCTTCTCCTCCTCCTCCTCCTGCTCCTCCCGCCCTCCTCGTCCTCATCCTCCTCCTCCTCCTCCTCCTCCTCCTCCTCCTTCTCCTCATCGTCCTCTTCCTCCTCCGCCTCCTCGTCCTCCTCCAAAGCCAAATCCTCCTCCACCTCCTCCATGTTCTTCTTCTCCCCCGAAGGAGCACCGTAGCCGTTCTGGCCCGAGCAGAGGCACGGAGGGGGCGGGCGGCCCGCGGCGGCGTGGGTGGCGAGGCCGCGGGTGGCCGCGGGGCTTGGCCCGCATGGCGCAGCAGCGTTCGCGCAGCCCGCCCGCGGAGCAGGGCCACGGCGAGGAGTTCGGCAGCACACGCCGGTCGTTGACAGATCGGTACAGTCGGGCCGGGGTGTGAGATCGAGGTCGGCTCGGGGAGGGTGCCCTCGTGTTCTTCGTGTTTGTTGGATGCTCTTGTGCATACCCTGGGGAGGGTACCCTTAGATGCTCGGTTTATTTTGGCCGATGATCGCATGTTCTTGAAGGATGTTATTATGTTCTAGGTCCGATTGTATCTCTGGATGTCCAGATTCCAATCTATTTCAAGCGCCTTCCCACTTCAAGGATCGAGCGGCTGGCTGTCCTTCTTCCCTCCTCTTCAGAAGGCGAGCGGAAGTCCAATCTGCTTCCAGAGCCATCCTACTTCGTGTTTCGACCCACTTCTTCCGATCGACGGGTAGCCTTTGTTGTTCTTATTATTTCGCCGATCGGCGCGGGCCCCCGCCCCCCACCCACCCACCCTCCCCCTCCCCGTAGGACAGATCTTGGCTGCGTTTGGTGGCTGCTTGTGGCGACTGGTCAGGACCGCCACCCGCAGTCTGGTTGCGCGAGTGGCAGAAGCAGATCGACGAAGCACCAGCCCAGACCCAGACCCCCCCCCTCCCCCAACCTTCGGCCAAATGTCGAAACCCAGGGTTAAAAACGCCTACGTAGCAAGTCCATGGGAGTCTCGGCGGCGAGCCCCAGGGGGGAAGTGAGAGGGGGTGGATGGGCCTGTCCAGGCCCAAGGGTGGGAAGTGAGAGGGGGTGGCTCGGAAGGCCCTGGGTCTTTTTGAGAAATTCCCTAGGCCTTCCCCGAAGACATAAACAACTTCTCAGAAGGCCAGAGGGCTTCTGAGAAGCCTGTCGCCTTGTAAGAAGGCCTGCTCCTTCTCACTTCCTCCCCCCCGAGTCGCCGCCGACACGGGAGTGGTAGCCGGCTGGGAGTCTGAGGCGGCCCAGCAGCGGTTTGGGCCAGCAGGAAGGTGGGGGGGCAGGTTCGAGGTGTTGGGCTCCAGAAGGTGTTTTACTTTTTCGCCCCTTCGGGGGCCGTTTTCGGGCCCCGGGACTGTCACAACAGGACCCAGGGTTAAAAATTACATTATGTGGATCTTAGGAGGGTTTGGGGACTGATTCTGAGCGGATTTGCGTATTCCCCACTTCTTGACCAATGTTACAAGGGCCCATCCAGTTCAGACCCCCTGGCCGTCTCCAACATGGGAGCCTCGTGCTGTCAGGCACTGCGCATCGACGCTGTTCGGGGTGCTTGGCCGCCCCCGACCGGTCTTCCCAGCTTCGGGATGCCGTCCAGCAGCCGCGCCTCGCCGAGAGCGTTCCGGGGGATGCCCGGAGCGTGCCGAACGGCCGCCAGAGGACCGAGGCACGGCCCGAAAAGCAAAGCAAGACGGGGCTGCGGTCGGGATTTGTTTTGCTCGGCGTGGCGCTCCGCGGGTGCGGACCCACCACGCGCTGGCGCGACACGCTGGTCCACGTCCCAGTTCCTGGGCATCAGGATCCCGAGCTTTTCCAGGCTTGCCGCCTTGCGGAGCGGGTCGACACGCTATCCATTCGTAAGGCAGGGCGTGTCGCCGGGAAGCCGCCGCGACACGCTAAGCAACAATTTCCGACCGTATGTCCTCGAAGATCTGTCTCTGGAGCGTGTTGGCGTGTGCTAGCTTCTCGTAGTTAATCGATGAAAAAAGCGCCGAAGTAGCGTCGATTAGCGTCGCTTTAGCGCCGACTGGCGTCGATCATCGTTGGTTAGCGTCGAGTCGCAAGAGCCAGCAAGATGACACGAGAGGCTTTCATGAGTTGACACATAACGGCGAGGATGAGTCGGAGCGGAATCATTTCCTCGATGTCTGCTACTCCTTCCTGGACTATCTACTGGCATTCGGCCCATCCCGCCACCGCGCACGGGTTGTAGGTCAAGAGTTCTCTCGGGGCCCTCTAGGCCCGTTTTAGGGCCCTCGTGGGCCCGAAAGAGTCACGCCACAAGACGCGCTTGGGCTCGGGAGGCATGCCGTGAGACCCAGGAGATTTTGGATTTTTTGGGCCAGGGCCCCTTAAAGTATTCAATCTTGAGGCCTTGGGAATTTGGGTGACAGAGGACCCGAGGACACTCCAACTCGTGCCTCGCGGCACGGGGGCGGACCTCAGGGACTGTCAGCACGACATCCAGTCGCTGCGTGCCAAGCGTGCGAGGGTGGCGGACCCGCTGGACCGCGCGCTGTGGCCGATGGACGAGGAGTCTTGGATTGCTTCCGTCTCTTCACGCATCAAGGCGAACGCGGACTTCCTGAGGCTCCTGCCGGCGCCCGAGGTGTGCTGCGCCCCGATCGAGCCGCCCGAGAGGGCCCTGTCCATCCCGCCGGGCCACCGCGTCGAGAGCAGGAATTCCTCCAAGGTGCGGTCCACGCTGCGGCAGTTCGTGCGCGACTGGGCCGTCGAGGGCGCGCCCGAGCGGGAGATGTGCTACGGCCCCCTGATCGAGGCCCTGCAGCGCCACCTGCCAACTGGGGCGCGGGGCAGCCAGCGGGTGCTGTGCCCCGGCAGCGGGCTCGGGAGGCTGCCCTTCGACCTCGCGAGGGTGGGCTACGCCGCGCAGGGGAACGAGTTCTCCTACCACATGATCATGGGGAGCCAGCTGGTCTTCAACCGGACCAGCAAGGCTCAGAAGGGATGTCTGTACCATTATATATACATACATATATCTCTCTATGTATATATATATATATATGTGCAAGGCTGCAGTGGCGCTTCTCGCCATGCACCTTGGTCCTTGAAGTTTGGTATGCAGGCGCGATGGCAGGAAGGTCAAGCGGACAATTTAGCGATAACCTTGTTGCCTTTTCCAGCATCGCCGTGATGACAATGTTATGTATTATTTGTCCTCCATGTTTTTTTGTCGTCATTCTCGCCATACCCTGCGCATTCTCCCCATCCTCCTCAGTTATTTTTGCGGAGGCTCCTCCTTGGAGAGCCTCTTGGGGCCGCACAGAAAGTTGTTCAGGCTTTCTTAAGGCCTCGTGGAGGCCTCCTGGGCGTGTTCTGGGGGGGCCTCTGGGGGCTTCCTCGGGCCACCCTGCCTCCAACTGCGGTCTCCCTGAACGACCAGGTCACGATTTGGAATGCTTCGGAGGGCGTCTTGGGGCCATCTTTGGCCGCCACGGGGCTCTCTTAGAGCCATCTTGGACCCTGTTGTGCCGCTTTGGAGCACTGCCTGGAAGCCCTTTCGGATGGTTGTGGGGCGATGTGGGAGCCTCCCAGGCGGCTTCGGACGCCCAGAAGACCGCCGTCTTGGAGCGTCGGGAAGCCGAAGAGAGGAGAACCCCAAAATTCACCAACAACCCACTGAAAATCAATGATGTTTGCCTCTTGGGGCCTTCTTTGGAGTGCTCTTGGAGGCCTCTTGGGACGTTTTGGAAGGATTTTGGGGGGTATGACAAACCAAATGCATTTAACCATCGCGAAGGAAATCTCATAGGAACGAGGAAAAACAAGACGAACAACAAACTCAGCGTGATTGACATTAAACGAACGAGTATCGATAAAAAATGCGATCACATATGGGATGGTAAAATTGAGAGTCGCCGTAACCACCATGTGAAAAATACGATTCTTCGACAGCTCAGAGCCCCAAGAAATCATGCAATAAAAACCGTTGACCTAAGCAAGATCGACAAAATGACAATTGAAAAAAACAGTGACCGATGTTCACCCAAAACGGAAACAGTAAGGCGGTCTACACCCAGATCCTCCAGATTAAGGCGGCTTGCACTCCGAATCTCTGGTTGAAATACACCGCACCCGAACTCGGCCTTCGGCGGACCCCGCCTGGGGGTTAACGCGACCTGCAATCGAAAGCTTCGGGTTGAACTCCCACTCGGAACCCTTATAAAAATATGTGAATCGGAATATGGGCACAGACACAAACAAACCTCGATGCCCAGGAAAATACTGGAAGATATGGAATACGGCGGGGAATACGAAGACCCATAAAATGTTGGATAAATACGGGGAAGCCTGGAAATTGTGTATATCTAACTATTTGTGTCCCCCTGGGCTCCTTTAAAGGCCTTGTGCTTCACGATATACCCGTTCGTCACCAGCATCGCCAACCGGCGCCGCGCCGCCGACACCCTGCAGGCAGTCAGGATCCCGGACCTGTGCCCCGTGGATGCGCTGCCCGAGGGGTCGGACTTCTCCATTCGGCGGCGAGCGAGGGGGGGAGAGAGGGAGAAGGCCTTCTCAAAAGGCGGCGAGACTTCTCAGAAGCCTTCCGGCCTTCTAAGAAGTTTTCTGCGTCTCTGGGGAAGGCCTAGGAAACGCTTCAAAAGGCCAGGGGACTTCCGAGCCTTCTGAGAAGGCCCGCCCCTTCTCACTTCCCCTCCGCGCTCGCCGCCGATCCATGGCGGGGGGCGAATTCGTGGCAGTGTACGAGAAGCAGCTGAAGGAGTGGGACGGCGTGGCGACCTCCTTCTTCCTGGACACGGCCAAGAACGTCTTCCTCTACATCAGGACCATCGCGGACCTCCTGCGCCGCGGCGGCGTCTGGACGAACCTGGGGCCGCTGCTCTACCACTACGCGGACGCCGACCACGAGATATCCATCGAGCTGAGCTGGGAGGAGGTGAGGCCCTTCGTCCTGAGGTTCTTCGACATCGTGGAGGAGGAGTTCCGGGTGTCCACCTATACCGTCGCCCCAGCCTCGATGATGAGGACGCGCTTCCGGTGCGTCTTCTTCACGGCCGTGCGAAACGGGAACCCCGTGAGCGGCGTATCCAACCCGGTGTTCTGACGGCCGCCTCCACGGCCGCCGCGGGCAGCGCGATTGGCGGCGCGACGCGGCGGCGGCGGCGGCGTCGAACGTCCTCTTCCGAAAGAGGTAAGGGGGCA